GAAATCTCAGGGATGTTGGCGTGCATGCTATTGCAATGGGCCCTGAACGGTGCTGATTTTACACTGTTTTCAATGGGGCTTGAATTAGTGGACTAGACCCTTCACTGGATGTGCTTTCGTCAGTTGTTGTGTGAGAATCTTTTCTGTGAGCACAAAGTGAGTACAGTTTTAAATGAGCGACCAAACTAACTTACTACCATTTTTAAAACAGACACTTATTAATCAGCTTTAAAAATTGAGTTCACAACCTGACTTAAAGATTTACATTTAACAACTACTTTCCTGCATAAAAAGTCAGTTTTAACTGAGAACAAATAAGTTTGTTATGTAGACAAAGTTCATTGCGTTGACTTTCACTTCCCTTGTTTGTAACTTCATCTCTGCCTCGAAGAAGAATTCTGTCACTCTCACATCGTCTGTCACACGATTTGGGTTCAGTGCGTCTTTAGATCCGACAAACACAAATCATGGTTGTCCTGGAGATTTTTCCGGTGAAATCTGAGGAAAACAAACGACAAATTAGTCATTCAGTTTTTGAAACCACTTCATTAAGAAAATTTCAGACGGTCCCAACTTTGAGATAGTAAAGATTCATATAGACCTATAAAGCCTGATTGGCTAGGAAGACTGTCATCAATTTCTTAATGGGCCTATATAGGCTTAAAGCTAAGCATTAATTATAAAGTACAACTTTAGAAACTTTCTGAAACTAAAAAAGTGCGACTCACATTTCTTGCTGTTCCTTCTTCCAAACTTTACGTTGATCTGCGGTACCGATAATTCACTGCTGCGTACACCTCAACCATTATTCTTTCCAAATTTATCCATTCCAAGTGCAGAATTCAGTTTTTCTTCGAAATATGACGACTGAAATACAAAAACCTTAACCGCTTTTTGAAAAACTCCATTTTGAAAGTACACGCAACGAAATTCGCAATGCTCACTATTTACCCTCCCAGAAAGGTTTTGAGTCAACTCGGACCCAACCCCAGGAGCGTGATTAACTTTTTGAAAATTTTTATTTTGTCCACTTTTACATTTTAGCATTTGGTAAATGACACTTTTACACAGCATGCCGCCAAGATGTAATGTCCTCTCTACATGTAATGCAGGGAAACAGTGGCACAGGCTTCCCAGAACTTCTCCGTTTTCGAGTTTGAACAGGCATGGTGGTTGAAAACTGCGTACAGGACTAGATTTGATATCAGTGATGTCTTGGAACAAGTGATAAGTAACCGACAAGCGTCCGTTTTTAATGGAGGCACGATTCCTTTGATGTCTTATTTGCCACTTGTAATCTGGAATCTTAATTAGCTTCCGATTGACCACAAAGACTGATTTTGTCACTTTCCATTCTTGAAACCCTATGATCGGGGAGTGGGAGCTTCGGACAACCAATGGGAGCAGCTTTTGGAGTGTGATTGACAGTACCAAATCATTGACGCCCTTCCTCCGAAGTTTTTTTGGCACCCCAGATCACCAGAAGAAATCGAATGAACTTTCACCAAACAGCCCCAAAAGTTTTTGTTGCAATAAAAGCCACAGATAGGCCCTTCTGGTGTACATAAGAAATGCTGCATGCGTACAACACTGCAGATATTATACATCAATATCAAGAACATCGACCTTTTATAATGTCTCATGCTGTTATCCCCCACCTCGCTTTTCAATTTTTTTTGGCCTGGCAAGTCTTACATCTCCACCTTGTCCCACCCCCCCTTCCCCCGAATACGGGCAAAATTTAGGCAGATGGAGGAATTCATCCATACAGGCCTAAACTGACTGTCCAAATAACGCAAATAGGCTGGCAATTTCGAACAACACAAATCAAATT